GTGGCGTGGCCGCGGCGCCGCCAACACCAAGATCACGGCGTGTCACAAAGGGCCTTGGACACCCTGCCCTGTTCCATCCCATCGGCAACGGCCGCCGTGTCACAAAGGGCCCTGTGACATGTCCCATGACTCGACACAAGGAGCTGAAAGAAGTGGCAAACTCCCCAATTTAGCTCTATTGGGAGGACCCGAGAATGAAAAAAATTTGCAAGTTTGCTTCCCCTCTCAAATCTGCCACTCATTTGCCTTCACCTGGTCCATTGAGAGTCAATCTCAAAAACAAAACAAAACAAAACAAAACAATAAAAAACAAACACCAGAATCCTGGGCATGGTTTGGTTTTCAAAGGGTTTTCTAGTAAGGGATAAGAATAGAAGAATTCTAGTAAGGGATAAAAACTGTCAAGGAACACAGTAGAGGGTGATTTGGAGTTGAGAGAGCGAGTGCTCCAGCCTTTCTAAGGCCTTCCAACTCATCCTGTGGACACTCAGGTGGGGTACTTTAAACTTCAGGCTCTCTTGAAATCTTGCCTGCAGCCATGAGCCAGTCCCGGGGAAGTCTTCTAAGAACTGGGGGTTGCCCCTGGTGGTCAGGGTGGGTTCTGAACTGGTTCCTGTGGACTCCAAGGGACAGCCCTAAGTAAGGAGCAGAGAGAGGCTGCAAGTGCCAAGTGACAACTAGTGATGCTCTTGAGAGGGGAGACCAGGGGCTTGTTTATTTGAGGGTGTCATGAAAGCAGAGGAGTGACAAGTTAGTGAAGTGAGAACAGATACACAGAGGACAAAAAGAAATGTTTCTTTCGGACCACCTCACTGCTGTGGGATGAAGCAAGCCAAGAAGGTATGAAAATTGAAAGCAGGGAAAAATAAAGCTACCCAAAATGATCACAGTTCATACTAAAATGTGTTTCAGAAGGAACATCAGCACCCCTCCCTCCATCCCAACCCCCCGCACCTCCCTCATCCAAAAACCCCCAAAGAAATTAATCTTCAAGTCCTTGATGAGAAAAGAGAACTC